TTATGCATGCTCATCCTGGACTTTTTTCTTCTTTCAAAACTTTAGTCTCTCGGGTTGTCTGATCACAAAAGATGGAGGTGAATCTTTGGTCTTGGCTTTGAGGTCTAACCCCTCCCATCTGAGAAATCTTGATTTGAGCTACAATCATCCAGGAGACTCTCATGTGGAGGAGCTTTCTAAGGGAGTGAAGAATACTCAGTGGAGACTGGAAAATCTAAGGTATGAACAAAAGTTCACATGGCGTTGGTTTATCTAACTTGTTTTTTTTTTTTTTAGCCTTTTTGCTTTTTCCTTTTTTCTGTTCATGGGAAAGATATAAAGTGATTCTATGTAAAGAAATGTGCAGACCCCAGAGGAGTCATGGAACAAGTCCTGACTGTTGTTTGTGCTTATATACCGAACAACAGTGTGGGTGCTAGAGGATGCCCTATCAGGGAACTCTATGGTCCTATTGGTGTACTGGTAATGTCTGAGGCCCTGGTCTGCAAAACCTTAAATTCTCACCTTTGACAGAGCTTTGAAAGCCTTCCGTAAGATAAACAGGGGATACTAAGTCCAAAAGGACCATGTCATAGAACTCCTTGGCTGAGGAGTCTGTATAAAGCTGTGGCCTCATGGTGGTTGGCATGTGTCATAATATTCATTTCAAAATCAGATGGTGGACACTAAAAGTGACCAGAGCCATCAAACTGAAAAAGTCCTTAGTTAGCCTGCTGGACTCCTGAGACAACTTACAGGTACTGCAGCCCAAGAAGACTGTATTCTTACAGTAGCTGTGCAAAAACTCACCTTTAGACTGAGATTCTTCTCAAAGCATTTCTGGCAAACCTTCAGTCAACTTCTAGTTACTCAAAGTTACTAGTAACTTTGAGTAAGTAGAAGTTACCTAAAGCGGCAGTGCCCAGATTACTTACGTAGACAGCTACTTCGGTGCAACTGATATAAGGTGGTGAAGGCAGCTTCACCCATCTGTTTGTTGAAAAATAGTAATGCGACCGCACTGCATTTTCTTGTTAGTAACGGTAACGGTCTTGTAACGATAAAAATAGTAATTAGTTAGATTTCTCATTACTGAAAAAAGTAACGCTGTTACTTATAATGCTGTTATTCTCATCACTGGTTGTTTCTGACTTCAGTTGAGGATATAGTCAGCCAGTGAATCCAATACTTTAGGCACCTCCTCAATTCTTCCAATATCCATCCTTAGAGAAAGCAGTGTCTAGGAATTAAAGGGGACAACTTAGGCATCACTAGGCTGAGTTCACTAATGGTCTTAAATAAGTCGTTGGTGGCAGGGAATTTTTGGTGGATGAGATTTCCCCTTAAGTTTCTTAAGGTTCTGGATGTGGTGGGGCTGTCATGGTTGACACATCTCTGTAATGTTGTTTGTCTGGGGTAGATCATCGGAGTTGGCAGGGTCAGGTGATGGTTCCTGTCTTTAAGAAGGGGAACTGAAAGCAGTGTTCCAATTATAGAGGTATCCCACTACTCAGCCTCACTAAGAAGGTCTGTCCGAGAGTACTGGAGAGGAGACTCTGTTCTGCTCTGTTTTGAAGACACAGCAGGGCATGAAAGCAAAGGTATCAATTTACCGGCCAATCTGTGTTTGCATCCACCCCTATGGCTACCAGATCCAGGTCACAACTGAAAGAATGAGACTGCAGATACTAACGGTGGACATGAGTTTCCTCCAAGGTGTGGCTGGGCTCTTCTTTAGCGCGTTAGCTTCTTTAGCTTTCAGTTCTGAATGGGACTGACAAACACACACAGGTTTTTAAGAATACACTTTTACCCTTTTTTAGCTTCATGAAAGCATGACCCATAGCAGTCTCATGACCCTGCAGCTTCACGAGTACTCTGTTTAATCTGCACTGGTCATTCCACTTTATTGTCATTGATATTTATATTTAAAAGTGCAATACTGTAATTTTCTGCTGCTCATTCCTGTGCAATATCCCATCTGCCATCCCGTCATATTTCTTTTCAAGATTTTCTTATTTAATCACTAGTGTACATATATTTATATTTATAGATACATATATATTTAGTCATCTTTTCTCTTTTACCATGTCTCTCTAATATTTTGCTCCTCACTATTTTTCTATTTTCTTTATTATTTTATTTTATTTTATTATATTTTCTCCTACTGTATCATGCTGCTGAGTGACTGCTGCTCGTCATACACATTTCATTGCAATGTTGACCCTGTGCTAACTTGCATATGACAAATAAAACTGAAACTGAAACTGCTGAGAAGAGAATATATTTAAAACTGGCTGTGTTTCAGCATGTTTCTATATCAATCAGGAATTGGTGCTTCATGTTGAATAGCAGTATGTACACATTATAGATAAAACTCATTATGTTTTTCTCCCTCCAGAGTGGACCATTGTGGAGAGCAGTGGCTAAAACCTGGACTACTGAAGTGTAAGTCTCAGAAATGATAACTAAATGTTTATGTCAAACCTTCAAAACTACAGCTTCACAGTGGCTACAGGCATCTTTTATATACAGTCCTGTATATATTCATTCAGAAAGTATCATCATTAAACTTTCTATGACTGAGCAACATATCAGCAAGTAAAGAAAGAATAAAGCATCAAATATGTCAGATTATCAACTGCAGCTCCATCTTTTTCTTACCAGATTCATGTGAAATCACAGTGGACACCAACACAGTGAACAGAAACCTAAGACTATCTGACAACAACAGGAAGGTGACACGTGTGAAACAGGACCATCCATATCCTGATCATCCAGACAGATTTGACTGCTGGCCTCAGCTGCTGTGTAGAAATGGTCTGACTGGCCGCTGTTACTGGGAGTTGGAGTGGGAAGGAGAAGTTTATATAGCAGTGAGTTACAGAAGAATCCAAAGGAAAAAAAAGAGTGATGAGTGTTGGTTTGGAGGAAATGATCAGTCATGGAGTCTGAGCTGCTCTGATGGTGGTTACTCTGTGTGGCACAATAACAGAGAAACATTCATTTCCTCCCACTCCTCCTCATCCTCGGTCTCTGACAGAGTAGCAGTGTATGTGGACTGTCCTGCTGGCACTCTGTCCTTCTACAGAGTCTCCTCTGACACTCTGATCCACCTCCACACCTTCAACATCACATTGACTGAATCTCTGTATGTTGGGTTTGGATTTGGGTTCTGGTCATCTGAATCTTTACTTTCTCTGTGTTCTTAGTGTACCTTTAATCTCATCACTGAGACAGGACACACACCACTTGTAAGTTTTTTACTGTCCATGTTTACAAATTGACATCTTTTCATAAATGTAACCAAGTGGATTTAGAGCCTAAAGCTGACCAGCGAGTGAAGTAAAAGTGGTGAAAAGTGAAACATGTTAGAAAGAGAAGATGGCCTTAACAGGGTGTGAACTAGTGAACTTGTAAAGTAAAAACATTATGCATTTAAGGTTATCCTGTTTGTTCTTTATTTAAGAAGAGAATTTGTTCCACTGTGCGATGGCCGAGTCTCTTTGTTTGCTTGGAGATAATTTCTCCTGCTTAGAGAAAATCCTCTTACACGAAACAGAAGAGGTTGCATTGCATAGAAACTGAAATGCAAGTTGGTAGGGATGCAGGTATATGATCTTCTTGGGTCCCACAAACTATCACCGAAAAAGAGTAAACAAAGTAAATTGCACATTTTGTAGAATAACATTTTAAGATTATTTTAACAATGAATTTTTTAAATGATATGTATATTATGAAAAGCAGATGCTTTTTTTAAAGACATTTTAAGTTTTTCAAATTTCAGAATAAATAAATACACCCAAAACAAAGGCAAACAACAAGAACAGAAAGCTTGCAAACCCACCTGATTGACCAAAATCAACTCAAATTACTCTCACATGACAGAACCTCCTCTCTTCCTCGCTGGCTCCATATCACTCATTTGAATGATCAGTGGTTTGCTATTTCTCACCATCAAAACACTCCACAAGTGCCGCGAATGACTAATCACTTTCCCATAAACCACTGACTCAGATACTGAAGCAGTTAAATGAAGCTTCAGATGTCATTGATCATGTGACTCTGGTCAAAAGAATCAAGCCTCGACACAGTGCTTCTGAAGCAGTGTGTTGGTTTCTTTTGACACACCTGCCAGAGTGTCAGCTTCAAGCGGGCCATCACTACTGTGAACTGTAGTGCCCAGGCTGATAAACCAGAGATTAGGCAACAAAGGGACCTTTGTTTTGTTTTCTGGAGCAATTATGTGTTAATTACACCCACACAGGCTCAACCCATCTTCTGGAATGATGATTGCAGTCTTGAAGCTGATCATCGTGCACACTCACATGGATTCATCTTCTTTGATCCACTGAATCAAAGTTGAGGCTCTGCTCTTTGAGTATGGATGAACATACTCAGAGCTCACAGAGCTAACTCTGATCAGAGGGGCGTACATCGATTTTGGTGATGTAGAAAATGCAATAATGGTCAAAGGAGCTTGCAAAGAAAAGCGTCTGGACTTCTTTAAGTTGCTTGAAGACATTTCACCTCTCATCCGAGAAGCTTCTTCAGTTCGAAGGTCAAATGGTGGAGAGTCTCAGATTTAAACCTAGTGGAAGTATCCCCCCAAAGAGGGACAAAAGGACCCCCTGATGATCCTCTAATTGCCTGAGCCGAGGTGTGAAAATGGGTGTGGGTCCCAATCAGCCAGAGTTTCGGGTGAGGTCGAAAGAAGTCCAGACGCTTTTCTTTGCAAGCTCCTTTGACTACGATGACCTGGATGACTGAGAACCTTCACAGACAAAATGCACTAATGTTTTTATTAGTGCTGTCAGCGTTAATCAACGCGCTAACGTGTTGACGCCAGTCAGCCCCACGAATGGGACGATCCGTGATAACTCGTTAACAGAGATTTGCCACGTTAATGCAGTTATGGCGTTAACGTCATTAACGAGATTAACGCTGTTTTTATGCTTGATTAATGCTAGTTTTTATGCTGGCCTCTAACACCACTAAGTCTGTTTTACACAGATGGATTCATTGGGAACTGAATAGATAAGAAAATTGATCATGGTCAATTTCCTGTGGGTATACAGTGACTAACCAATTTTAAATACATCAAGTTTAATATTTCAGAACTCTAATGTTGCTGTAATGTTAGAAATAAACAGCACCACCAATCTTGAGTAACGATTCCTCTGATCATGTATCTGGTCCTTTTTTTTTTCATCTTGTCTGTCAGCTTTTGCATGGGAAAGGTGGAGAAAATATAATAAAATACAAATAGAAATGCACAATGTATTGACAACTGCTGCACCTGTAAGAAAAACAAAGAAACATACTCAGATTGTGTAAAACCTGCCTTCTGGACAAGGCCCAGAAGAATTCTAAGTTCCACTGTAAGTTTGTCTTACTGTCTGTTAATGTTCCACAAGAGCAGGTTCAAAGTTCAGTGGCATGTGGTTATTGTATGACCTTAAATAATAAAAACGGTGGAGAACTGAATGTGGAGATTAGATTGAATCTGCAGACCAGCAAGCTCCTGTTTAGTCTTGCTTTTAGTTGCTTTACATTAGAAGTGGTTGATTAAGATTAATTTCACACAGATTATTTCTTCCATCAAACAGTAACGCAAACTGCTTCCTGCCTCTTCACTGTCAGCAGGTATGTCCAAAAAGCTTCCAAGTCTTTGTAGGATTTTGTTGTATGTTGCTGCAGAGGTGTGTTCATGGGCATTTTTGTCTGTTCATACATTTTCATTCATGTGACCATCTCAGGATGCTCTCTGTTAGAAAATCGTTATGCTAACGGAAGTTCAAGCTGGTCTGCAAGAACTGATATTCAAATGACTAAATGACCTTTTCACTGGTTTATATTGGGCTATCACAACCCATCAGTCTATTTCATTTGTTTTAAAAAGCTTTCAGTTCAAAACTGTCTTCTACAACACGTCCAAATGTCAACCCTTATGATTATTTTTGGAAAACGTTTTTTTCAGAGTGGGGACCTTTACATTACAACCACCTCTGTGATGGAGAGATATTTTGTTTCCAGCCATGAGTTTCATTAATTGGTCTTGAGTACTCATCAAAAGGGTTGTTGGTAGTATTATGATCAACCTCACTCCAGATTAAAAAAAACATGAGACTTGTTACTTGTTTTTTGTTCTGTTTCTATCATTTACATAATCCTTAATAAGTCAAATTTGACTTTGACACAACAGGAAGCTTCAGTAACCAGATGGCATGTAGAAATTTGAAACAAACAAACAACACAACTTTTTACCTATAAATAAATGTCCTTTGATGTAATGACATTTACAGTTTTTACAACAAACAGAATGCTATCACACCGATCAGCAGCTGTAATTCATATCATACAAAATCAAAGTTCAAGGTTTTATTTTTCTGAGGCATAAAAATCACAAAAAGGTTCCTTATTGCTCAATGTGATTAAAACCCTACCGCCAAGATAAAACAACATGAAAGGAAATCAAATAAAACAGTTATTAGATGCACTAATTTTGATTTTACAAACATGATCAAACACATGGTATTTTCTGTAAAGTGTTTCTTATCTTTGCTTGTTTTATGTTAAGATATTAGGATATACTGGTATTATGTTAACAAAGACCAGCTTACATTTTGAATATCAAAACGAATCCAAACTTTTTGTAATTGTTTGAATTACTGACAGCAGTCAGAACAAATGTGTCCTGTGATGTTGTGTGAAGGTTTGGGATCTGCTATGGATCAGTGCAGGGAACATGAGAGTCGAACCAAACTGCAGAGGTGAGATGACCAACCGCCCATGACACATCATCTTATCTCCTCTAGTTAAGCACTCAAGTTAAATTATTATATATAATAGGAAGATCAAACACCACAAACGGGACTCGCCTGTACCCAGTTGTGTCTCCATGGAGAGCGATTGGTCCAAGGGTCCACATGTTGACTTCAAAGATGGACATCACCCTGCTGATCCAAGGTAAGAAGTCAAAGGAATTAAAACAGATTTGGGGGACAAAATGATTTCTTAACAATGTTGAAAGAAATATTGATTATTATTTATTTAATTATCTTAATATTTAGAAAAAAGTTTAGAAGAGCAAAAATTCAAAAGCATTTAGAGTTTTCTTCATGTGATCACTGTTTCAGGTTATTAATGAGTTCTTATTCAGGATAAACGAGTCCTTGTGTTTGCAGGAGGAGCCTGCAGCAGAGACCACACTCGCCTGTATCCAGCAGCATGTCCATGCAGAGTGAGTGGTCCAAGGGTCCACATGTCGACTTTAAACATGAACAAAGGTCTGACCTCGGGTAAGGACTGCAAACTGAAGGTGCAGCTTTTTACAGTTTCAGAGGGGCAGAAAATGGATGGATGGATGGCTGTTTTAGCACTGCATTTAGAAATACCAGTTTCATCCACTTTATTTAACACGGTTTAAATTCTTTATAGCACGCTCCAACCATTTCATGGCTTTATGTTTTTAGCAGGAGGATTTACTTACTCATTCTAACTGACAGGTACTAAGACAAGTCGCATAGGATGCTGTCTAACATAAATGTGTTCCTATATTTAAAGGAAGATCCTGCAGCAGAGACCACACTCTTCTGTATCCAGCAGTGTGTCCATGAAGAGCAATCGGTCCAAGGGTCCACATGTCGACTTTAAACATGAACAGAACCCTGATGATGCAAGGTAAGAGCGCAACAGGGTTGATTCAGGACTTATCTAAAACAGACATTACACATATTTTAGAATCAGGTTTTTATCCACATATAGATCAGAAGCAGCAGAAGAAGGATGGATGTATTGATCAGTGAGAAGACTGAATAGGTTATGTTTTATTATTGCATTTGCAAATGCCAACTTGTTCCCACCACTTATAACATGTCCAGTCCCATTCAATTCTTTATGCTTGCTGCAACTATCACAGCACTTTGTGTCTTTTGCCACTGGGTTCACCCAGTGTGCTTGCTAACTGAAATCTCTCCCCCTGTGATAGTAGGAAGGTCAGACAACAGCAGCAGCGCTCTCCTGTATCTAGCAGTGTGTCCATGCAGAGCGAGCGGTCCAAGGGTCCACATGTTGACTTTAAACATGAACAGAAGTCTGACCAAGGGTAAGGACTCAAAGGTGCATGAGTTATCTGATACAGAGTACTGCACATATTTTAACTATCAATTTTAGATCCTAATAAATCTATCAGACCATAAAGCGTCCCGGATTATAAGACGCACTGTTGATGAACAGGTCTGTTTTCATACATAATGCACACTGGATTATAAGACGCAATAAGGGAAACAAAACAGTCCAGTCAGAGTTGAGTAAGTCAGACTTTACTCAACTCATTCTTTTTGCTTTCTCCACTTCTGCACCCTTGATTCATTAATGTTGAATTCTCTCGCAGCTGCTCTATTCCCATGTTGTTGCAGTATTTTAATGACTAACCTCGTA